AACGAAACATATGAGTTATTTCTCTTCTTGATAGTCTTAAATCTATAAGTCAAGCTTTCAGCAACTCTTTTGATACCAACAATGCTCAGTCATTTTTGTTTGATCAGCGCAAAAGGTTGGAAAGACGGCAAGGATAGATTTCAGTGATTTATTCCGTTGCTGATGACGAAAAATTTGATGACAAACTGTCAAAATGCATTTTTCTCTATCTTTCTCTTTTAAATAAAAAATAAATGTTATCAATAATTTTCCTGTCATTTTTCTTTATATTTCCGACCAGATTTGCTTTAAAATGAAAGAACATTTACTTTTAATGTCAACAAGAAATAAAGATATTTAACAACCAATGAAAATAATCGTTGTATAGCTAAATCTTATCATGCTGTAACTAGTATTAATCTATCTATAATTTACGGACAAAACTATTGTTAACTATATAATTAAGAGTTGTAAACCATAGTTTACAAATCGTGAAACCGTATTTTTCAGGTAAACTATGTTTTGCAATGGCAAATGATTGTTTTCGGTGTTAAGTCAGGTTTACACCTGTGAAACATAGATTAAGGCGTTAACTATGATTTAGAAATGTGAAATATAGATTAACGTCGTTAACGATGGTTTACGCTCCGTAAATTATAGTTTACAGTCGGTAAACCCAGTTTATCAACTGTGAAACTATGTTCAGCTCATTTTTGTGAATTTGGCGTGCCATACTGAACACTTTGACAGAGCGGATTACGTTTTTTACACTGTGTTACAAGTATATTAAAGATTAGTATTAGAAAGTTAAAAGGCAATGTGCAGACCACCTATCCCCCCGTTTTCATTGATTAGAGGTTATAAAAGAATAAGAAAGACGACAGGAACAATATGTTATAATTCCAGCAGACAAGGCTTGTAACGATATCGTCTTTGTTCGTAAGACTCATTATTAAAACTGTATTTTAGAAGAACTTGGTTTTAATTCTACGTCTGGAAATCCAGCTTATATTAACAATTCACTTTCTGAGGATAAAATTCTTCAGAATCACATTCAGTATTTTATAGTTTTAACATTCCAGTCAACCAAGTGAGTTCGATCTATCCTTCCTATACTTGATTCCTAAACTTCGTAAAAATCCTTACAATCAACGATTGATTTCGGGTCGAGCAAATACTCTACCAATCTATGCTCACGTATTAACCAAGAGAAACGTCAGATGTAGAAGCGGTGTATTTTCAAAAATTCAAAAGAACTCTTAGAAAATTTAAAATCACCAATTTTTTTTCAAAAGTCAGTAACATCAAAATGTACAGCTTTTTCTACACTTTATACAACCATTCCTCATGATAAATTAAAAACTAAGCTCTTTTACATCATAGACAACTGCTTCTTCAAATAAGAGTTTATAAGACAGAATGTGAAACAATGGTTAAGGACATTGTCATCTCTGCCAGCATTCTTCGCTGTTACATATAATGCGATGGAGAACGATGACTGTGTGACACATCATCATCACTGAGTTTATTTTTTTATGAACTCCGTGCTTATCCTCATTGTTTTGAATAGTATCAGAATACTTCCTAAACAAGTAATTCAAAATTTTATACATATGTTTACAAATCATTCATCAATTGTGTGTTTAAACTAGATTGTACATATACAGCTGCACAATCTTAAATTTTATAGATCAATAGTGTTGCAGTATATCAAAGGCTCCAAACAGTAAATAGTTTACCATTGATTCATTCATATCATCGAAAACGCCCTTGTAACTTTGGTTAATCCATATTCGAATAAGTCATTACAAAAACCTTCTTTTTAAAGTTTACAAATGACATTTGCTGTCTAGGCAGAAAAATCGGAAATACAAGAAAGGGACAAATTTCACGCAATGTACCATTTAGTTTTCTAAAACACACTACATGTACATCCTTTCTTTCTTTAATACTCTAAGGAACATTGATATACACATGTATATTACCACTTAAGGATGGAGTCTTTATATTAATCATATTTAAAAATTAATGTAATTTTGAAGAAAACACTATCCTTTAGTGATATTAGTAACATCTGATTTCATCGTCCTATTTTAATAGTAAGGTCAGGCAGGGTCACTATATATTGGTCATCTACACAATTAACTTGTACAAATCACTCTGATTCTATACAAAAGTACTCTGAGGTTGATATTAAAAGGATGCTGGAGTTCCTCATTGACAACATTTTGCAGTCTTTAGAGACCAGTCTTCCAACAATCTGTTAGAAATTCGATGGACACAAATTGTGCTTATCGTGCTCCTTTATAAGCTGACTTGTTTTTATATTCGTATGAAGCAGAATTCATTCAAAAGCTTCAACATGAGAAGAAAACAGTTGTTGTGGCCTTCAACTCGACGTTCAGATACATGTACATCGACTCGTTTTATCTATTAGCAATAGTTACTTCCACTCATATCTCGACTCGATATATCCCAATGAACTCAAAATAAAAGACACCACAGAGTCTGGCATACCTATTTCAAATGTGGATGTAATACTGACTATAGATGAAAAGGGCCAACTAACAACTAAACAAACGACAAACGAAATGACTTTAGTTTCCTTTATTATATATACGCTAATATTTCCCTATCACCTGCATATGATGTTAATGTATCCCAACTTTTTCGATACTCAAGAGCATGCTATGAGTACTATTAAATTTTAAACCGAGTGAGGCTTCTGACAAATAATTTGAATTTACGAGGATTTCAACACCCACGTTTTAAGTCAGTATTTCGTAAATTCTATGGTCATTATAATGACCTTGTTAGCAAATATAACCTATCATTGGGTCGTCTTTTGACTAAATTATTTCATTCCAATTGTTAGCCCTTTGTTCTTAATTTGACTACGGATCATTCCATCTACCTGATCAATACATAGGGCTCACAGCGGGTGTGATCAGTCAACAGGGTATACTTACTCCTCCTAGGCACCTGATCCCACCTCTTGAAATTCCGGATGTCCATGTTTTGCCCTGTTCACGGATTAGTATTGTTTGTAAGTTTTTTGAGATTGATCATTGTTTGTTATCTTCATCTATTTTATTCCTTACCTTTAAGGTTAAAAATTACAATAACCATCTTATAATAACTTTTTCTACTGCAGAATATAATATAAAACAATGAAACAATTATCTTTTCATAAAAGATACATGTAGTAACATATAGGGTCTATCCTTTACAATTTTTTCCAACAATCTTCAATCTTTAGATATGGTATCACAGGGTTTTTTTTTTAAATTGTAAATTGTCCTCTCCTCATTTTTGTATTGAGGAGGTGACTTCTATTGTTCACGTGAAGTCTTCGGTAATTATTACAAAATGTTTTAAAATAAATCAATGTTTTGGGAAAAGTCTGTCGATATTTACGATGTGTTTTCTGTTCTATGAGAGGTGTCATAAACCATAAAATATGTAGATCTCTTGGAATTAAGGCAAGTCGATGGTGATGAAATCCTTTAAATAAATCATTATTTTTGGCCCATCAGGAAGAGTTTTGTATTAATACAAAAAGTTTAACATGAATCAAAATGTTGCACGCATTTCGTAGGTTGTGAGCGATATTATTCATTGATAAAGAAAAGCACAATGTATAGATAAATATAGTTGACTATTGTTTTACTTTATGCCAAAAATTACTGAGATAAAAATTCATTTACTATTGTAGTTATATGTTGGTAATAAAGATATTGTAATTAAGAATGAATTCGATAAATATTTTTCCAAAGGAAACAAGTGATTCGTGTTTCTGTTATCCTGCTGATAGAGAGAATTTTTATTTGTTCGTTCTACTTATTTTGAATATGGTTTAAAATTTTAGTCGTGCAATTTTTTTTCTTATAGTAAATATCTAATTTAGTGGAAAAGGGTTACTTATCATAAGAAATAATGCGTTCCAGACATGAAGTTAATATTTTCAAATTGGTAATTTATAAGAAATCACATTGCTATCAAAATTGTCATTTATTGATCATTGTGCTAGACACTTAATATAGCTTGTCAATTAACAGCAAGACATAAACAAACCAAACTACTGGAAGGTCTCTATGTCGATAATGTTTCTGAAATAGGAAATACAATCCAGAAAAGAACCCCAGTGACATAAAAGATAAGTTGGACTGCTTTCAGTTGATGCTTAATGAGATATTTTTGGTAGACCGACAACTTTCTATGAACAAAGCCATATATTTCGGGACTTTATGACTCTTCGCCGCCACCCTCTCAGAAGGAGCAGGTGCGTTTTTCCCCATTTACAAGAACAATTTGATAATTTAACGTATTAGAAAAGAAATAGTCTATCCTAATTGAATGTCAAGCGTGATACAATTGACTGTTTTTAAAAGAAAAAAAAAGGTCGGCGTTTCTGCATAATTTGGCTGCTTGAGTATTTGTTTCCCTGACCAAAGCTGAACTTGCATAATGTAATTTCCTCGATGGCCGTGGATTCCTGGTTATTTGACGGACGACTAGAAATTTTCAAAGAGTCTACAAGTGTATGTATATTTTACACCGAGGTTGCGTGAGTAAATTCCTGCACTCTTGGACTGAAATGCTTTACCTGGAAGATTACAGAGTGGTGTATGCTTTCCATACAATTAGGAAATTGATTTCCATTTGAGACGGAATCAACTCGGAGTGGCGATCGCCCATTCCTCCCAATGATTCATTAATAGACAGGCGGACTGCTCTATTTCGTTCATCCGACAGCACTTCATGCCCTTACTAAGGTATACAAAAAACTTTTCCTAAGTATTTATAATTTGAAAAGTAGTTATTTTTAGGGAAATTTGAAAGGACTGAGATTTTGAAAGAATTTATATTAACCAAAAATATCAATTTCATCATTTTCTATGTTACATTGTAAATTAAGACAGGTTTTCCCTATTCAACTTTGAAATTTTGAAATATGTTTTCTTCTATTGATAAATATCATTTCTTGTATATATATTCTTTCATTATATTAACAGATTCATTCATGACTTTGACAATGTCGGTGGAGAGTCCAGATTCTGGGAAATATGTTGTATATACCGTTACATCAGACGAAAGCAGCACGGATTTAGAAGATGGACACGTCAATTTCAAAGATACCGAAACTGACTCACTTAACGGGAAACAATCGCCATCACATCGACCTCTGAGGTCACTCTCATCAGATTCTTCTAAGTGGAGTTCATTTTGGTCAACAAGAGAAAAATGTTGTTGTCTCTGGAATATTGCATTTATTATGGCGATTGGTGCTCTCGTTTTTGTTGTTGTATACCTAACGAAGAGAGGTGCTAACAAGCCTTCATTTGAAACAAATTACACCCGGAACCCTATGGGAACATACTACGTGAGTACGATGTCTCCAAAGGACTTCGAATCAGAATCAAACCAGGTATATATTTCTTTGAACACAAGTATGAAGAAAATCAGATCATAAAGTAAAGATACGCTACATAGAGATTTGCTGAAATATCCGTTCTTTCTGTGGTAAAGCGAAGTCATAATGTTTATTCCACTGAGGGCCATATATTCATCAATTTTACATTGTCTTCGTTCAAGAGAAAATGAAGTAATGCAAGTGTAGTTTGCATTAATCATTGAGTGAATTTACATGTATTAAAGGGCTTATACTAATTATACTGGTGTGTAGGGACATCACAAATGGAAACTTAATCTTTTTAGGGAAGTAAACATAGCTTTAGCCAAATGAAATTTGATTTCCAGTTAAAATATTGGAATTTTTATAGAGGATGTTATGAAAATACACGTAATAAGAGACAAATTAATAGTCTGAAAAGGATAAACATTTTTACTATCATAGTTTAGTGTTTATCTCAGTCAAAACATTTAGAATAAAAACATTTTTGGGGCAATGTAGAAAACGTTCTCAAAACAATGAATCCATTTTCCTATCATATTATCATGAATTATATTATATTAAAACAAGTAGAAAACTGGTCACAGATAGATTTAAAACGGCACGGACATAGGTCTATGAAAACAACAACAATTAACAAAAGAAAGTCCATAAATGGAAGTCTTCGTGTTAAGAAATATATAAAAACATTTGAATGGCAAAGGATTTGATTAATGAGAAATATTTTTCCTTTATGAACTTTGTTAATATATCTTATGGATTTATTAATACCAAAACGAAGACATATCAAGCTCCGTGCAATTATTCCCACTTTTACATTTCGTTATCTTGATGGAAAAGTTTGTATTTACTGAATGGATAAAGCTCATTGCCTTCAGAGAAAAAAAATGAATGATAGATTTCTATTGATCTGGAGAGAGAAAAATGAATATATAACTCGTATTTGTGAAAGCAGTAATTAACCTAATGGGTATATCCGAGGTCCAAAGAAATGATACAATGGATATGTTTTTCTTTGCAATATCTGAAGTTATTATTTAGTAGTTAAGGTGAAATATATAAACCATCATTTCAATGTTTATTCAAGTTTCATATCTTTGCATAACTGTAGATTTCTTTTTTTTTTTTTTTTGGAAGGGGTTGGAGGGGGGGTTTATGTGTGTGTGTGTGAAAGAGAGAGAGAGAGAGAGAGTGTGTGTGTGTGTGTGTGTGTGTGTGTGTGTGAGGGTGTTTGTGTTTGTGTGTGTGTTTTCAAGAGATGATGTTATCCTGAACTTGCAACAAGACCGTTCCAAATTTTTTTCTATGTTATGCACACATGCACAGTTTCTTTTTAAAGCATGAAAAATTAAAAAAAAAATAGCAAAAACTACACTTACAATTTTTTTTTACCGCTTTGTATTCTATTGGGATCAACATATAATTTTTTTATATTCTTTTGAAGTTTTGTGTCAAAATTGGGATTTTATATATACTAGTAGTTATTTTTATTACAATATGCATAAAATTCTTAAATGGTGCATGATAATAAACTTTGTTATTATTATTATTATTATGTAATGTTGTTTTTTTCTGATTTGTTTTTTTTCTTCCTGATAAAACGATAGGATTTTGATTTCTGAGTGGACGCTATGCATAAAAATAACTTGGTATGGACTAATAGGCCATTTTAATACAGAAATGAGCTTTTAATAAATAAAGTTGTTGTTTTCTGTCTTCACTGTATTTGGAAAAATCGTCTTGAACTTGAATGCATAACTTTACACATATTACATTAAGTTCATCTACAAACTGGGTTAACTATTCAAGGTAGAAAGTCACTGTCTTACTCCTGAATCAAAGTATTTTACCAGTTTTGACCAACGCTCTACGTACAAGGACTCCCAAAGGGTGTGTCACGGTAATTGTAACATCTTCATAGAGACAACTGAATGTGTTATGAAATGTTAAACAATAATTGTTAATCTGACGTTTATTTCTTCTTTGAAGAAATGTAAATGATCTGAACTCATACAAATTACGTCTATTAAGTTTAGCGTACAATGTCCTTACATACTTGCTTTCTTCTGGTTGCATCGTTTGAAAAGTTTTATTTTAATCATCAAGCTTTATAATAATTTATAACTCTTAAACTCCTAGTTATTCAAGATAACGAAGAAAAGTATGGATGAGATTAATTACATAATCAGCATCATCTTGTGTGGGTTTTAACAAAAGATATTTAACAGACATTTGGAATAACAGTAATTGCACAAAATTAAGTCTGCCAATGCTCTCCATCATTGACGTCTTTGCCTAAACCTAATATTCTTTGCATTGCTTCTGCGAGATGAAAATTTAATAACTTGGCATCAAGGACGAACGTTTGGCAATGAATGATGAACTTAATAACACCTTTCATTTACAAACTGGGTTTTGTCTTATCATTGATGCAAAATTGATTACATCTTTGTGCTTTTCAGCATCCTAAATACATTCGTTTAAGTGCTTTATATGTTGGCTTTTAAATAATAACAAATACCAGCCAACTTATTAAACGCCAGTATAGAATATGGGCCGGATCTTACCAGGCACGTAGTATTTAACAAACCTTTGAATAATTGATTAATTATACGTTTCTTTTTGTTTTTATAGATCTGCTACACATCAGAATGTGTTCGTTTGTCCGCGGAACTTCGCTCGCGGATGAATACAAGTGCTGATCCGTGTGAGGTAATAAACATTTTCGCGCGTTTTTTGTAGTTCGGCCACTTTTTCCCCACAGTGTTTCTTTTGACCCATCGGGTGCTTTAATGCTTAGCGGTCAATAAGAATTTCAAAAAAATAAACTGCTTTTCTCACTAGATTTGACAAGGCCTGATTTCCAGTGCCTGACTATACACAATGTCTAAATACACAATTGGTATGACATGACGAATTCGTATTGATCAAGGTTACAACAGAAAACCTCGGCCAATCTTTCACACCTCTATTATGATTGCCGGCAAACGTATCGATAACATGATTATCCGTCCTATGGTACATTGGAGCAATTCCCCAAATTTAATATTATGCAGAGTATGCCACGATATGGAGATGTATTAATTGCTAGGAGAGATGAAAAGACCTCTGCATTTTAATTTCATTTCCTTTTCCAATCAGGTGGTGGTCAATATTAACTTAAAAAGTGCAATATATGTGTTTTTTTATTATCAAATAATAATTGTTTGATTTGTGTTTCTTTCCTCAGATTTTCTCATACCCCCTTTTTGTTAGACATTCTTTTGGTTGAAACTAGTCTATATCGGATATGCCATTACCTTTTGTACTAAAACATTATCAAATTAGATACACTTCCTGATTCTAGATTAAATAAGGAATAAATAAATATTGGAATATGATTTCATTCTTTCCTTTCATAGGATTTTTACGAATATGCTTGTGGGGGATATACAGCGCCGCTAACATGGACAGCCCCTAGAGTTCGTGAAGTACCCGATGCTTTGAGACATTCCTTTACGTCTTTAATTATAGGTATGGTATTAATTGAACATTTAACATGTGCTTTCAATGTATATTGATATGAATTATATGTACTTGTTAGATATTACATAGAAATATCATATTTTCCTAAATCGATATTAGAGAACTCGATAGGATATGCAATATTTTTATAGTAAAGATTAGTTTTTATGAAATAAACACACCTGAAAATATTTATCCATATGTATCAAAATCAATTATAAATTTTCTATAACTGAAATGAAATTGCTCTTATTTTTTTGGTTCAAATTTTATTATACAAAAATATTAAGTGCTGTAAAGGAGAAACATTAGACGTACATGTACTCTTCTACAGCATTCGAAAAGGTGTTTTAACCAAATGATTGATTCTCAGGGAATTTCAGAAAATTTAAAATAAAATTTTTCAAAAGTTAGAAACTTCGAAATGTATGACTTATCTGCACTTTATACAACCATTCTTCACGATAAAATAAAAGCGTGACTTTTTTTTATATCATACACAACCGATTCTTCAATAAAAATGGAACTCGGAGATTTTGATATCTTGTGATTGGTCATATACAAAATTATTTTTACACATAAGTACTCTGAGGCTTATATTAAAGGGTTTCTGGAGTTCCTCACTGACAACATCCATGTAGTCTTGGACCAGGTCTCCAACACTCATGCAGTTGAAATTTCGTTGGGGACTAATTGTGCTCCTTTATCACCGACCCTTTTTTTATATCCCTATGAAGGAAAATTTATTCTAAAACTTTTACACGAGAAGAAGAAAACACATGCCGTGGCCGTCAACTAAATATTCAGATATATCAACGACGTTTTATCTATTAGCAATAGTCACTTCCATTCATATGTCGACTCGATATATCCCATTGAACTCGAAATAAAAGACACCACAGGGTTTGTCACATCTGTATTATATTTGAATGTTTTGCTGACTAAAGACAATAAGGGCCAACTAACAACTAAACTGTATAACAAATAAGATGACTTAGTTCCTCCTTCATTAACTTTCCTTATTTTTGTAGCAATATTCAATATTCCACTATAACTTTGATATGGTGTTGTTGTCTCCCACCTTAATAAATACTCAAGAGCATGATCTGAGTACGAGTACGATCAATTTTTAATCGATGCAGGCTTCTGACAAATAAGTTGATGTTACAGGGATTTCAACAAACTCGTTAAAAGTCAGCATTTCGCAAATTGTGGTCCTCATTATGATCTTGTTCGCCCTTGTTAGCTAATACCACCTATCACTGGTCAAATTTTGACTGACATATTTCATAATTGTTAGACTTTTGTTTGTTTACTTGTTTACTAAATTTGACTATGGATTACTTTATTTACCTGATCAATACACAGGGCTAACGGAAGGGGTGACCGTTCGACAGGGGATGCTTACTTCTCCTAGGCACCTAATCACACCTATGAAATTTCCAGGGACCCATTTTTTATGCCCTGCTCACAGATTTTTATTGTTTGTATGTTTTTTGAGATCGGTCAGTCACTGTTTATTATCATCACCTATTTTTAATCTTAAGTTAATGTTTCCCGATTTTAGAAATGTAGAAAACACAGATCATAATTACAATATAAATTTTAAATTTTGTTTAATTATGATACCTTTCCCTTTAATCTTTATTTACAATGGAAATGGCTTAACCGCAGAAAATATTTTTGACTTTGAAGGCTATAATGTGTGTTTTCCTTATTTGATCTCAGTTATGAAAATAAGTAAAAAAAATATTAATTATACCGCAAGTCGCAATCAGAATGAAATGTAAAAACATTGACTTTAAATCAAAATTATTCACTTTATAGAAATCATACCTTCACTAACTTTATAAATAAAAATTATGAATCATGATTAACTCTTGAAATAACCATGAAAATGTGTTTTATAAACAAAAGGAAACTTTACCGTTAACAAAAGTTAAACTATAGATAGTTTATAATACTATCTTTTATTAGCCATATGTTAAAGTGATATTTACAATTTTTGCATATACATTCGATTACTGTGATAAAGATGTTTCGAAGTGATATTCTTACTGAATACCACAAAAAATTAAAAGTAATCTATTGAAATGTTTAATTTTTTGTCATTAAGTATATAAAGTAATTGACGATTAACAACATATAAATATAACCCAAAACAATCATATGGAGGCCACACATACAAGTGGTGATCAAAAAATTCGCGAACTATCTCTATATTTACAAAACCACAATTCAGATCAAAATTAAGTTTGGCACACATATAGTCATACACATATTCTATAAATAGCAGGTGTTATGTAATGTTTTGCTTCATGTTTGTGACGTCACAATGTGAAAATGACGTCAATATGTAGGTGACTTGTGACAAAAAATGGATGAGTCTTACTTGAGCAACGAACGGCTGTAAAGTTTAATGTATAACTTGGAAATTCTTTTGCAGTAGCATATAATAATTTGTACATGGATAATGAAGAGAAAAGACTTGGCAGAAGTTTAACCATTAATTGGATTGACTGTTTTAGTGAGGAAAGAGAGATGGATAAAAATGACGTTTGTTCTGTTGCCCAATGAAAACAAGCAGGAAAAGAGATGTGTCTTTAGTTGAGCAGTTTGTTTTGAAGGATCGCCAAGTTCCAGTTAGAAAAATAGTTTGAATATTTTAACAATAGTATGTTTATTGAATCCCTAAAATGTTTTTTACTTTAGACTTTAAACATATCATATATGATAAAAAGAAGGCGCCCATACTTTATCCACATTGGATAAACGACGCTCCCAAGACAGAAGACTCGGGTTGTGATGGTCACCATGCTCATTCTGGGGAAGGATATCCTTATCCACCCATCCTATTGCCGAGATTTGGCAATTTTTGACAAATAGGACTGTTCTTAATATAAAAAAAATAACTTACATGGTAAGAAATATAAGACTTGGAAAAATATGAACGCTACGGAGCATATCACGTCACCGCCTGGATCACTTGATTCGCGCTTGGGCAAAACGGTGGCAGATGTGCATTAAACTTCTTTTTTTAAAAAAGAGGACTACTTCAAAAAAAAAAAAATGAACACTGAAACCTAATTTCATTTCTTTTATGGAAATAATTGAATTAGTTCGCGACCTTTTTGATCACCCCTCATATTCTAGAGTTGAGTCTAATTTTGATTTCAAAATAAGCCTTCTTGTTTAGAGAAATTATCATCAGCAATTCGAAGTCACGATACGCCCGGTATGAAGGTAGCAAAAAAAGCATATCAATCCTGTGTCACGGCACCAGACCGGAACCTGCAACAACACTGTAAGTAATTCTTATTTAATATAACAAAGGATTTACATTCAGCTTACTTTACTTGCGTTACGATACTTGCTGTTAACGATTTTTATTTCAAAAATCTTGAAATTAAATTATAAATTTATCTGTTTATAAAAGTAAAATGAAAAATTTAGCAACAAAGAGATTTTTTTTCAAGATTTCTCAATATTTTTTAATGAAGTGATAACTACAAAAAGTTAGAATATGAACAACGATATAAATCTACATTCTCTAAGTATTTTTGGAATTTCAATTTGACACATTTCTTACTTTAAAAAAGTCATTAAAAATACATATCAATGGATAAAAATTTTTGTTTTTGGTTTCAAGCAAGTGTCCTAAACATATCAATGGCAAGGTTGTTATATCCATTTAACGCATCCCTGGGTTTGGTTAATGCTAAAGTTGATCAGAATAATTTTACACAAAAACTTTATTCAATTAATCCGTTTTCTCTGTGGAATAATAATAGGTTTTGATGTTTCAGCATTCCCATTGTCGTTGAATTGCTAATGACCTTTCTTTTAACCTTTAAGCAGCCTTTGTTGCTTAAACATTATCCCATATGTACAAGACTAAACAGGTTTCAAATGGCTAAATTTTACTTGTTTGCATTTTTTTTATTTAAATCTCAGTAATATCCATTTATGTATGCGAGTCATCTAATAGCCAAATGCTGTTTTTATCACAGAGATTCGTTTTCGATCCTTGGAGGGAGAAATTTTAGTTGTCTTTTAAATGATAATTATACAGTGACTGTAAAACCAAATTGTAGCGCACAATCTAAATTGTATATGTACTTCATTCAATGCAGTTTCTTCGAAACCGATTTTGCTTTCCTGTTTTGATAGTGCACTTTGACAAGAAACTGGGTTTTGGTTTCAACAAATTAAATTTGATGGCTTCAAGTTTTCTTTTTGTACAGTTGAAGAACTGGTCGACAGCTTTGAAGGGGATCCAGAAAATCCCAACGAAGGACACAGACATTCACTCACCAGGCTTTTGGCCCATGCTGTAAAATTCTACGGAGTATCGCCATTGTTCAAAGTCATACGGTTGGAAAATGACAAATTAGCTGTAAGATTAATCTTAGTTGTCTATCTTGGATCAAGTCAAAAAACGCTTTATGGGAAAATATTGCCATAACCATAGGATTTTCATATGATAAATCCTTAATATGCTTTGTGCTTGAGAAGATATGACACTAGAAATTTATTTAAGATAAGAATTTGTTATTATTCTTTTTTGATTTGACATTTTAAAGTCATTTTATTATTTGTTCATTTGTTTCTTATCTGATGTCATTCTGCAATAGCTCAACTCATATGTTTTTGATGCTGAAGGTTTACTAAAGACAAATAACTGCTTCGTTCTGAAATGATACCAGGCCTCATTTTTGTTGCCTATTAATAGAAAGCATATTGATCTATATTTTCCTCTGTAATTCAAATTCACTCGAAATAAACTCTGAACCTATATAGAAGAAAACAAACCCCTATGATGGTATTACTCAAAAAGGAATGAGACTTTTGAATGAGCCAACACAACGGGAATGGGTTATAAAAAGCTGTAAGCTTTGTCAAGTCTTTGCTTGTTTTTGTGTTCTGTAATGCAATAAAGCTAATGCAAGTTTTTCCTTCGACGTGTGAAACTTCCAATAGAATGGTGAGTGGTTAGAGGCCCTCGGCCAATATCGACATCTTTATTAGAATTATACGTCCTGAGATAACAAGTTTTCGATAACGGTAAGCTACTGTTAATAGCTCATTGGCATTTTCTGTGCTTAGTCGCGAGGATCTTGGTTTTTGATTTATATATGGACGTAAATCAGGGATTCTTTGATAGCAATCATTCGAGTGGATAATGAAGCGATAAGCAAATATCCACACGTCCATTAAGATAAATAAATAAAGTGTACTCTATGTTTGCCATCAATTCAATTTGTTAAATATCCTAATATGATATCGAATATAATTGTTATCACTATTTAAGTATCAGAGCTCCAAAGAAAGAAGAGAATACGTTTTGGAACGTTGTATTTGGTTTTTTGTATCATGGTGTTCTTTTTTAACCAGTAAGAGTTACGTGTACTTTCTAAGGACACGGTGTCTAATGAAATCGATTATTTTGCAAGGGTTTTTTTTTTTTAGGAATATTGGATAATATTGTCTTTTTGCGCATAATCGACAAATTCCTAACATTCTATTGGTCAAACTTTTATTCATTTTTCAGATATTTTGAAAAAAAAATGTTAATTTAAAATGAGGAATATTTTTCTCTTTTTCAAAATTTTCTGTATGATGATATGGATAATTTTTAACTAAAAATGGAGAGGGATTTCCGAAAATGATAAGTCAATTCATGGTTTATATAACATTGCAAACTTTGTATCATATGTGAAAACGCTATGATATATTCATGAGAAAAATGCATCAATAGATGTTTAAGCTGATCCGTCTTCATTTGCATAAAAATTAATTTAAGGAAATCTAATGGATTCGGATTGGTATTTTTCAGATCATAAACCGTTATTCAGACCAAAGAATTACTGAACTCTCTAAAGCTGGTCACAAGGTTTCATCCTTTCGACATTTATCTGTAAGGGAATTTTACTATTTGACGCCAAGTGATAAGGTATGTTATTATACAAATTAAATAGAAGTGGTTCTATATATATATATATATGAAAAAATAATTTCTGATATAACAGGTTATCAATCATCAATGTTATATTAATTAATTTTGAAATCTGGTCCAGTAACTTCAGAAAATCGAAAGGATATACAAAACGTAGTTTTACTTAACGTACGTGTGCATATGTAAACTTATACCTAGATGATTTGTTTTACCATGCTTTTTTCAGAAAGTTGTTGCCTACAGAAACTACGTCAGAAATATTCTAAAACACGTCTTCGGTAATGGCACCAGTAGTTTTTCCGTTGCATATCTTAAACTGACACTGAATGAAGTTCTAGACTTTGAAATGAGACTTAATCAGGTGATTCTTCTACATTTTTGTAACTGATTTACAGTAAAGAAAAGTTACAGTGTCGGATATTAAAATATTTCGTTTATACTTATAGGCGATGTTTGCACCTTCAGCAGTTAGTTCACTCAACATCATGCTCAATTGTACACAACGATACACAATAGGTGAACTAGAAAGATCATCCTCTGGCTACAAGATCGACTGGAGATTGTTTTTTAGCATTCTTCTGAACAGAAATGTGACAGAAAATTTTGCAATTTGCTTTTCAGATATTTCATATGACGTAACAGATATACTTTATGACACTCAAATTAACGTGATAAAAAATTTCATCAAACTCCACATCATACTGAATTCGGATATAGCATTCGCCAACCATATACTGGTCAATCCGTTCATAGACAATGATATAAATTCGTTGAAATTTTCTACAAAGGAAATCAAATGTTTCAAATGTATAGAAAATATTTTACCTGTAAGTTCTATATTCAAATCAACGGATGAAATACTTTTCATGAGAAATTCTTCATTTGTGTTTGGTGAGTTGAAGAAGTCCCTGATTAAAATCATTGACAACATGTACTGGATTCCATTCAAACAGAGGAAGGCATTTATCTCACACGCCAACGAAGCCGCTATCTTATTTACAACAGACCGGAAGTATAAAATCTATGACAGTTCCGCATATTTTTCATTTTTAAATAAATCAGACTTTTATCCAATAGTCTTTAGAGCCATCAGACAGAAATATTCATATGAGATGGACGGATATATTATTGCGCCATTATTTACAAGTACGATTTCCTATTATGATGATTTGAGGCAGACTATAGGTACGTAAATATACATGTATAGTTGATACAGGTCTACATTTATATAAAAGAAGTATTAGACTGTTTGAGGCCTTTTAAGGGCAAACAGTATGATCCTTTTTTATGTAGAAATGTATTTGGCATATCTATTATTTAATGCACTATTGTTTATAAGTAAAACTTTTATCTGGAAGAGTTTGTTAAGTAATCAAATTCACTGTAGTGTATGACGTCATAGCAATGTTTTCGTACATTATCAATACTTAATAAGAAGAAACGACACCATATTCCAAAATAATTGAATCCTGAGATGATTTCTTTCTTTCCTTTTTTGTTTTGTTTTGTTTTGTTTTGTTTTGTTTGTTTTTTTTTTTTTTTTTTTTGTTTTTTGTTTTTTGTTTTTTTTTGGTTTGTTTAAACAATTTACCATTGTAGATTATATTCAAAATTAAGCTTTTTATCATACATACCAGCAATTTAGTCCTTTTCAGTGTTATCACCAATGGCGAACAAGGAACCAATATTTTATCACTTCGCATCAAACGCACTCCTTTTTGGCTCAACTGGTGCATTCATCGCACAAATACTAGCCAGGGTATTTGATATTGATGGTAAGTAGAGACATTCTTTTGTTAAAATATAAATGCAATGTATTTCGTACATTTGAGGAAGCTACATGTACATTAGAAATCCGTGCTATTGTTTTTTTGTTACATCGTTAACAATTTAGGAAGAATGTTTGGAATCGTATTTCACATACCAAATTTCTATAATTTGCCTATTTACATTCAATTTCCATTTAAAAACTGAAATGTGAGTGTTAATTGTACACCGAATTTCTGGTGACGAAACAAATCCATTAACAGAAGTTGATTCTTCTCTTAATTCAAAAGCAGACATGTTTGTTACATATTTTTTCTTTGTTGTAGTTATTCTTTCCTATTATTTGAATGGCATTATAGAGCAGGAGGTTGTATTCACATTTGCTCATCATTTTCAATGTCTCGTTGAGACTTTTACAAAATATACAATAACGGACCTCGGTGGAAAAGTACATCAGGTATTTATAATCAACATACTGCTATTTAATGAGAAAAGTAAGATATATTACATTAGATCTGTCTTACAACGTCTCCACAGTCTTTCTAACATTTTAAAAATCGTCTGAATCTTTAAAAATGGTTGAAAGAAACATTTTATGTAAAAAGTGATTATCAATTTTACAGGCAAATGGTGCTTTGACGAAAGGGGAAAATTTTAGGGACACGTTAGCCTTAAGAGTTACATATAATGTAAGTATTTAAGCACAAATGCATACAAAAGACTGATCGTCTTTTTAATTTACTGCAAACACAGCAAGACAAAATACGAGGGAAACAATACTCTGAATATCTCTTGCTTGATTTTTCATATTTAGATATAAATAATTATTAGTTTTTTTTACATAATTTCGTGTTTCGAATTGTTTAAATTCATTTTTGAATGTGTCTTGAAAAAAATCATAATAAAATGAAAGATTTACTCTCATTTTTTAGAACAAATTTTGTTTGAAAACAACGAGGTGCTTGTTGATTTAGGGTAATGTTTGGCTTTTGGTTTGACTAACAATCAGAACAACACAATGGTTTCTGTCAAATATGTGTGCTTACGCCCATTTCAAAAATTAGAATTAATTATAAGATTTAGCTTAAACAAAAGTCAAGAACTTGTTCAATTTTTGGAATTTCCTAATTTTTTATTGTTTTTTTTTCCTACCAATTTTAAAATACGGAACACAGAGTCAAACCTCCAAATTAAACAACTTTATATAGCCTCGTCAGTATGTGAAAATTAAAGATCCCAATTTCCCAAACAAAAAGTTTTTTTTTTCAAAATCATCAAAAGTGACGCAATTTTGGGAAATTGTTCATGACAAGTAAGCGATCAATTTCATACCTAATCATTCCCTTTATCAGACCAGGCATAACCATGATTAAAAGGAGAAAGATTTGATATAATAACAAGACAAGAAAAGCAAAAGAAAATTAAATCTTTAAAAAAAAAAGACAAACTTCAGTATAAGTAAACCTTGACAATAACTTGAATGCCTTGTACAAATAGCTTTGATTACCAAAACAATATAAAATAGTACGTGGTAAGTTTCCTGCTTTGAGCTGCTATATAAGTCTTGAACGGTAAACAAGGAATGCTTACTACTCCTAGGCACCTGATCCCACCACTGGTGTTTCCAGGGGTCCTTGTTTTTGCCCTGTTCACGATTCGTTTTGTCTAATGTATTTATGAGATTTATCACTGTTCGTTTTCTGCACCTATCACATATGTTATGAAAAACAAATCTGGAAATCTTGGTCTGAAAATGCTTATCGTAAGACTCAATGATGTTCATAAAATATATTATCTAGACTGTTTTGTTTCAGTCCTTCAAATCCAATATCAGTTGGAAAGACAAATACATGCTCCCTGCATTACAACTCACGGAGAACCAATTATTTTTTGTGGCTTACACACAGGTAAAAAATCATGACTGCAGATATAAAACACTAAATAAATATATAATATATGATATAAGAAGTTTTAAGGGATAATTCACGTAAAACAATGAAGTATATTTAACAATATTTACATTTGCTGTGTTTTTCTACTAAGCCAACTGTGAAATTGATTTGAAAGTCATTTTTGTGTAAACTCACGTGTAGAAATATACACGGTGAAACTTGCGCTAAAGTGACGTCACAATGAGGCTACAATGTAACGATATAGGGCAGCAAGAAATTCAAATATTGAGTATATTATTGGTACTTTTAAACTTGTAAAATGTAAATATAAGGAATGTTTTTAAGTTTAGTGTGAATTATTGGTGTGTAAATCACACAGACTTGCACGTAGGCATATTTTTCATGAAGCGCTAGCGCGCTTTATGAAATACGCCTACGTTACGCAAAACTCACACATAACTTAAAAACATTCCTTAAATAACTGTAGAATATGAACAAGAGGTAAAAGTTGTTAAATTTTAATTGACAAACCTTTGTTTCTATTTTCCTTGGGATGTAAGAATGAGGAATTAATCCTATATTTGTGTCGGGTGATGACGTGTCGGTCCAAATTTATTATCTCATATTTATTGTATTCAAGATTTAATGAAATTTTCACAGATTCAAGAAGTCAGTAATAAGCGATAGTATCAGTGAAATTAAATTGATCGTCTTATTTAAGCAGCAGGGTAAGGCCAAGGTCATTTTCTTTTTCCTCGATTTTATAAGGATAAAAAAGTACCGTTGCCAATCATACTGCTAGTTTGAAATATTATGGGGTTTTTTGGGTAAAAATACAATAGGCAGGACTCTAAGATAAAACCAAACTGAGAAAAATTGAACTAAAAAAAAAAACAATGGCTTACCCAAATTTCCTCTTATTTTTTTTAATCTATTGAATTTTAGTTATTTTTCGATATTTCATTTTTTTTCCTAAATTTTCACATATGATGAAGAAGTCATAAAGTCTAAAACGATACAACCGGGGAAAATACTGAACTTTAAAAAGAGATATAGAGGAAGAACAGTTTTTACTGACTTTTCACTCAAATCTATTAATAAATTGAAACGTAAACGGTAAAACGAAAACATTAACAACAACAGAGCTCTTGCCTTGTTTACAAAAACAGATGTTCGACGTAATGTAAAGGAGAATGTCGTTGTCTTTGAATTCTAAGAATATTGATATAAGTTCAATACATTAAACTTATTTTATTTTATGAATTAACATAGAAATTTAAAATGTAAGCAATACAACTGTGTCCATGCCCCTTTAAGTCCCTATCAACTTCAAAATCTGACTTTGATGTTTAAAAATGTGAGCTAAATTTATTATTCTTTGATAAAGAAAAGCAAAATGTAATATTTTCCAACGCTGCTCTTCCGCCAAAAGTATAGTCCCTGCTAGATTTTAAATTCAGTTGACTATTTTTCAAGTTGTACAGTATTGTAAGAAAGAAAATTCCTTACATCTCCACATAAACACTTAAGCAAATATACTTTGAATATTTTGATTAGACTGAAACCTGACAAGATTCCATCAAAACCTAAGAAAAATACCTCTTTATAGGTACTGTATATATTATCCAATTACTATATAAACATATGTAATTGTTTGATAAGTTTATTTCCTTTTATGCAACGAAGACTCTGTGTGAAAGAGTAAATCCAAGAGGTGTTGAGATGTTTTACATTAACAACAAACGAACAATTACTCTTCCGAGACATTTACGGTTTGTTACATAAGAACATTAACTTCTGTGATATATTTATCATATTCTTTTCTTATAACTTTTGTGTATGTGTGTTTTATTTTAATTTTTTAGGGCTGGTAAGTTTATAATTAAATTCATTTGCCAAATAAACAAAGATGTTGCAATTTCAAACTGTGTTTTGTTTGTTCGTTTTGCTTCGTTTCTTTCTTTTTTTTTAATTCTATTTTATGAAATAATTTATTTTTAATTTATTTATTTATTTTTGGCAATAAAGCGATACTAATAGTCAAAAAGTTCAGAAAGTACATTGTATTTCAGTTTTTATACCTTAACCACTTTTATTGCTATTCATAAAAAACCTTTTAATCTTAATGGATTGGCAACAACTTATATTACTGTAAATCGCTTTTAATTCGCGAGAATTTTATCTTCGCGTTATTACACGTGTATGTCTTCGCGCGCGAAAATTCCATTCTCGCGAATATTTGTAATGTTAAGGTTTAAATACAACAATGACTTCAGTTCGCGATTTTTTTCTCTTTAATAAATACCAAAAAAAAACATCCATTAATATAAGGTGTCGCGAAAATATAGTGATTTACAGTAATTCTATTAATGTGTATGCATTTAAGATTTTATTTCTAAGCCTTTGAAATTTACTTCATACAATTCTTTATTTATTTTTAAAAAAATGTAAAATAGTGTTACTGCATATTTTAACAGGTGTTCCCCTGTTCTCTTTCAGGATAAAGGGAGTTTTATCAAATTTTGACCACTTTTCAAAAGACTTCAACTGTCCAGTAGGCTCAGCTATGAATCCTGTAGATAAATGTGTTCTCTTTTAGAAGGAAATTATTCATATAAAGTGTATTTTAATATGTGGTTCTGTTTATACTGATAGACCAACTATGTGCATTATTGCTCTGGTTAATCCTGATGAAATAAAGTTGCGTAATTTTATTTTACGGCTAGAATAAATATTTCGATTCATCCTCTCATATTTTATTTAAAAGAAAATGATATCTTTTTTAAGATACTCAGTATTGCCTTATAGGTGTAAAAAAAAAAAAAAATATTTATAGCTAATGTCCCCTTTAGTGCTGTATAGATCGATGACTTATTCTACAAGATATGCTCTATTAAGGTTCATTTGAGGCAATAAATGTTTTGTATATGATGTTAACAATAAAGGGTCACATGAACATTTAAAAAATTTGCAAAACAGACTGCTGATTTATAGTGATTGAGAATGTAACAAAAAGGTTTGATTGTGTCAAGGAGAGTTCTTTTAATTTGAATAATAAAGGTTAAACCAAGAAAATAAATGTTTTATTTTTTTTTTATTTTTTTTTCGAATTTTACAAGAAGACTTTGGATCAAAGCTCATAAGCAATTTTCCTTTAATTGATCTGAAGCAGGAAGAGAAATGAACTGTATCCATGTTTCTTGTTCCGAGATGGTCAGCTCTAGATTCTATTGTTCCAGTTCGACTTAGATGTATGCCTTTTTAAAAATTTTCAAAGAGATTGCTTAGTTATGATGATTAAATTTATTAAACACTTAATGGGAATGTTTAGCTTTTCCTAAAACTGTGAAATATTTATTTTAATAAGGATATGAATTTCGTTGTTTTCGTGGTATAAAGAGACCCATTTATTCATTTTCTTCAAGTTCTTTTTAAATTTTAAGCTACGATATCACGTTTTTTTTAATTCAACCATCCAATCAAGTCCTCAAGAACCACTTTTTGTCAATTATCGCAAAAATTGTCCCCATGGAAATTAGTGATTTTAAAGTAATTAAATGAAAAGAAAATAAACTTCGTTTTTACATGTTCTTTACATAACATTATAATTTGCTATGATTTCAAAATGTGACTGCTATATAAACTTAAATGCCTGGATCCCATCTCAATAAACCTTTGAAAAAAATGTTTAGAGTTCATCCATGTAGCAGATTTAATTTTTCAGAGAATATCAGGTGCTATATCGAAAGTCATAATTTTTAGACTCTTGCTTTTGTCTTATTTTTATGCAATATGTTTACAAATAAATTATTTCTACCTCTTTGCGACATCCAGCAATAGACAAGTAAATTTATATAAATTCATAATTTTAGCAGCTCTTTTTATGCATGTTCCAGGATTTTAAATTAAAGAAAAACATTGCATTTCCATTACATAGTAACATAAAAAACAAACATTTTTAAACTGTGAGATAATTTAATAACCACTGATTAATAACCACTTTGCAATATATCACAGAAATGTTACGGTGCACCCAGCAGTAAATTATAAAAAAAAAATCAAACTATAAATCTCACATTCTTCTATTCATAAATATTAGGCAAAAACAAGAAACAAAATCGAAATTGCCTTAAAAATGCTTCTTCACCGGATGTAAAGAAAATAATCATAAAAAGCGAAGTGTAAAAAAATGAAAACAAATGCATAACAAATTATTGCATAATCAAAATAATAAAAAAGTGGATTTTCTAACATTAAGGTGAGACAACTCCTGAGAACGCCTTCGTCTTGACATAGCAAGTAATTAATCGATAAAAATAAATGATCACGTGTTTATCAAGGGAATTAACTCCAAATTGTGATCACAGTTACTGCCCTTGACCTCGTCGATTTCTTTAAATTGGATTTGTTTAAGCAGTCTTGGAGAAGGCATATTTGAGCTTCTATGTTTAAAACTGGAAATTCTGTGTGCAGTTAGTGGAAATTGTGAAGGCACATTCCCATTCGCGTTAGAGGTATCGTTCAAAGAATGTCTTCTAAGGAACGAACGACTTATTCTGTTGTCAATGCACAGTGAGTCTGTTTTCTCACAGTTACAGATTGTCTGATTCTGGTTATTGTTCCCTGATAAAGTGGGACTTGTAGGAGGGGACAGAACTCCTGATATTCTTTTCTTTCTAAAGGATTTATCTTCTCCTGTTAACCAGTAAGTCAATACGTCACCTTTCCCCTGCAACATAAGTGTTTCAAATTTAAATTTTCATGATGAACATTTGACACAATACATGTATATAAGACAGTTTTGTCTGATTTTAAGATTGGTGTATATTTAGAAATTTACAAATTACAAATCTTTTACAAATTTACAAATTAACCAAAGAATAAATGGATAAAGACAATTATATATGTATACTTTCAATAATGTATTTCTATTATTGAACTATTCATCAATTTATATTGAAAAACTATCACATTAAATCTTAGATCGTTAAGATAAACATCTTGTTAAAAATTTGCAAATGAGCAAACCTTCATTGAAACTAAGCCTCTTTCCTCTGTCTGATAACCACCGAGCTCATCCAGTATCATTTTACACTGGCATGAACAATGTACTCGTAGAGCTATAAAAAAAATAACATTAAAATTTTCAGTATTTCTTTGTATGCTTTTATAATGATTGAACTTGCGCAAGAATTTTGATTGCTTTTGTAAGTAATCACGTAAGAGCTGACGAATAGACAGACAGCTAAACAGACAGATGTACAGAAAACCCCACTGAGTACTTTAAGGCACCCACAGTATGAAACAGAGCGATAAAATACATACGTTCTCCGTTTGATTCCATCCTTGATGCTGTATTGACAGTATCTCCAAATAAACAATATCTCGGCATCTTCAGCCCAACTACTCCTGCTACACAAGACCCTGAGTGAATCCCTATCCTAAGTTTTATCGTTTCGTTTTCTCGATGACGAATCTTAAAACTTCCTATGACCTCCAGCAGATGAAGTGACATTGAGGCTATTTCGCCTGCGTGCATGTTTCCATTTCTTTTTGGTAGTCCACTTACAACCATATATGCGTCCCCAATTGTCTCTACTTTGTACACATCGTAGTTCTCAATGATAGAGTCAAATAGAGTGTAAAGATCATTCAACAGATTTACAACCTGCAAGATAAAAACAGTCATGAGATCTTTTTTACACGTGTACGACTACAATATCGCTCGTTCACTGGATAAATGAGAAGCAAAAATATAGCTGGCAAAATGGCGGATTAAAAGATACAAGGTCATTCTTTTACCAAAAAAAACTATGCTACCATTATACGTGCATTTTTCTCTTTATAAATTTAAAATTCTATGTCAGATTACCTGGCATATGACATATACTTCGTTTAAATTAAAAAAAAGATCAGCACGGACAATCAAATAATAAAAAGAGAAATTAAAAACATAAAAAACTTCAAACATATTACTAGGCATTAATTATTAGTTTGTTGCTGAGTGTTCAAATTAATATGTCGGTTTGATCAAGCTTCGCTTTGCCTTCGAAATGTTATCAACCAGACATACTACAGTATTTCTCAATGCGGTCAGAAACAAACCCAAAGTTTTATTATTATTTTTTTTTAGTCTGTGGGAAATTAGAAATAACGAACCTGAATAGGTGTACTTTCAGAGGACAAAGCCGTGAACCCACAAATGTCGCTAAAATAAATGGTCACCGAATCAAAGGACTCCGCCTCTACTTCTTTGCCCATCTTCAACTGCTCTGCAACTGACCTGTGGTAATACAATCACATTATGCAACCAAATTATACACCAAATAGGAAACAAAAGCGAGATAATCAAGGTTTTCAATCATAGCAAAGACAAAAATGATAAACAAATTCCATGATTTCATGTGTTTATTTTTATGTTCTTTTAGGTTTTCGACTTTTTTACACAACAATAATGCTGAAAATAATACTTATTTATTAACTGTTTTCTGCACAATTATGCAATGTTATTAATCTTGCGTATAAAACAAAATAATTCACGTCTTCTGTCAGGAAATTCATCGGTAGACTCTATGTATGCATACAACATCAAATGTTAAAATTTCTTAAAATACGTCTCATAAAAATGTCTACCGAGTTTCTAAGAAGAAACGTATTTATCATTTTAGCGATATCTTTTTACTTCCCCCTGACACATACTTTGGCAGCATTTGATGGAGAAGTTCCTCTGTCTTTTTCTTCTCTTCAATCAGCTGTTCCGTTCTTTCGTCAACCACAGCTTCCAGATTATTGGCATATTTTTCCATAATGGATATCATATTGTCTAAAATGTTTGGCTTCCTGTAAAAAAGAGATACGTACATATATAAATCAAAGGATTTTATCAATATTGCTGCTTCACATGAAAAAGGGAAATAAACAGACGTTTGAAGACGATCCAAGTATGTTATACAAATTTAACGGTATCGCAAGGAGTTTGTCATTTGCGGAGCATTTCCTGGACCCCTCAAAATCTAAGACAAACACGCCAGTTAGGAAACAGATGTTCTATCGAACTTTTCTTTATATTGAAGAATCACATGTAACATAAAAATGTGGCGTGCTATCATGGGAAACAATCGAATAAGAAATAAAGCCAAGGATAAAAAGGGGAAAAGGAAAACTTCTGCTGAATAAACGATATCTGCTTAAACTTTGTAAGGGGTGTTAAATTGCAAACAATCAATCAGATTCTCATTTACTATAGCCATACCTCTGAATCAAATTAGATACAAGTAAAAATAAACATTCTTCATAGAAACTATCACTTTTATCACTTTCCTGCCTCTGGTCTATTTCTCTCATCATAATTGAAACATTAGCCACGCCCTCTATGGTTATGACAACCGCATGACATCGAGAAGATGCCTTGGGGTTATGAAGGTATAACCCCAGATTTTACCGACAAATTTAAGGTTATTATCAATAAAACATTGATAAAAGTAAATATTCTTATAGAGGGATTTACGACATTACTATAAACTATATTACGTGAATATTGTCAATTATAATTAAATGAATATCGTGTTGCCACTAATTCAAAGCTTTTAATGTCTGTCCTCTTTAACCAACTGTAAGTTTAAGAAAGTAATCTCAACTGCAGAATTTAATCGTCGTAAAGTTTTCCATCCATGATCTGCGATTTCGAGATGTTGCATATATCAGTTGATCTACAGTATTTCAGCATCATGCAAATTACAATGTAATACTTTACTTCTTACATTCCTCTTTGTAGTTCTTTCAGTTTTGAACGAATTGTCTTGAAATCAGGTCTCTTTTCAGGATCCTGGGCCCAGCATTCTTTGATAACATCAGTCACAAATTTAGGTGTTGTGTCCAACTCTGCCAGCCTAGGTCGAAACTCTTCGTGGGTAAAATTCATTACTCTCTCAATAATTTCTGTGGAAGAAATCATTTCCGTTTTGATTCTTCATCTATGGTAATTACAAATCATGTATTTACAGGAAATTCAAACAATGGTTATGATAAC